TCGCTTTCGCTACGAATGGCATCCTCGTCACTGATTGCTTTTGGAGTTGTCCCACGATCGTATACTTACGTTTACCTTTGCTTTATTTCCTACGATCCGGGGTAAAATGAGATCGGCCGACCCGATATGCTCCGTCATCGAAGCGTTTGCCAGTTTTGAACACCTCGAACGTGAATAACGACTCCTTTTATAATCTTTCTACGAGACGACGTACCACGCGAAAAAGAAAAAAAAGAGAAGCTGAAACAAAAAAACCTTCGCGATGTAATCGAGATATCGGCGTTCTGTGAACGGCTAATTTAAATGGACCCTGAGTCGAGGTTGTGAAAATTTGGTAACGTCCTCAGTCACACGCGTCAAGATTCCCTTGATCTCCGTGGTGCAGAGAAAATAAGGAGATTTAGTGTGCCCCTGTGATACAATGAATGCCCGTTGTCTGCGAAAGAAAAAAAGTCGCGAATTAATTGCACAATCGAACGAAATACAGTCGGGTGTTGAACGTTCTTCGTGGTTCTCATCCGAGTCTGTGCCACGATTCCTAGCGCATAACCAAGTACTGAAACGAAAGAAAGAAAAAACAACATAACATACGATGCGAGAGTGAGAAACGCAAGGAGAGACAAACAACATTTGCAAAAAAATAAAAAATGATTATTAAAACTATCCTTTTTTTTTTCTTTTCGGTCGGTTAAACAATCGGTTAGTAAAAACCATGTACATAATAAAGAGTTGTGCGAATACGATCAATAATAACATATATAATTAATCGATAAACCTATGTTACATGTATATAAAAGTAAAATAATAATGTGAGATCTGTGAATACGACTTTACCTCGATCACTGTAATCTACGGGAAGGAGAAACGCAATGATTCTATTATTCCTTTCTTCCTCCTCTGTTTAAGCCCCCGGTACTTTCCTTTTCTCATTTGGTTCCAGTAGAGGAAAAAAATAGTCAATGTCTGCCTGGAGTGCTAATGAAGTGTAATTAAAGCTACTATACCAGTTCGCGTCGAAGTAAAGAGAATGTTTTCGCGGAGAGATACAGAGCACAGATAATACACTAAGAGAAACTGCTATGAATTACACACCTAAGAATTACAAATAGGCTTTCTAAACGAGTCGCTCTTCTTCCTGCACTCGCGAATCGAGTTCGTTACTGAAAAAAAAAAAAATGATCAACGGTGACCCGCGGCTCGATCGTTTTCTGAATTGCTGCGTTATGATAGCCGGTACGCGCGTGGTCTTGTTTTCATTTCGAGAGGAAAGAATTGTTTCGCAACGGCGGGACAATACAAAAACTGTGACCGAGTGAATGTCGTTAAGTCATCCCGCGTGTAATCCGATTTTCTTTGGCACACAGTCTCGTTGAGCGTTGAGGGAACTGTCCCGTGTCAGCTATTGTCTTTTCATCTAATGACTACTCATTGCAGCAAAGACAATATATCGGGACGATAACAGCCAGCTTTGATTAGACGTTGATTATATGAAAATAGAATCTAGATTTTCCACAAAGTTCGACGATATGAAAATAATCTTGTGAGCTTCCAAACGAGCGCGAGAAAATAGTTGCACGGAAAAATGGTATTTAATCATTTGAATAAGTTCAACGCAATATATATATTGATATTTTCAAATTGCCTCAATCTTTTTACCGTTTCAAATTTTGTCTACCAATTTTCGTCATAAATGCAAGAAAGACCCATTGAACGCAAAATTACAGATCGTATGAAGAATAAGAGAAATAGTCACTTAAATATTTCAACGACAAGATTCTGTGTATCATAACGAACGTTGCACAATTTTGTATGCTCTTTTGCATGTTTACAAAGATATAGATAAACGATTTTTCTACCTTTTAAATAGTTATAGATCAATTATAAAACAATTTAGAAACTAATAGCACACAGTGTTCCAAAAAATACTTCAAAACGGACGTTACTCGTTCTATACAGATAATTGATACTATATGAAAGTATAGTCGTAAAGATAATGTGTAATCTCCTCAACATTTGAACGTTTTGTATCTAATGTAACGTACTCGTCCGAGAAAATTAGGTTGCTCGTGGGATAACCTAACGCATGCTGTTACATATGCCCGAGAAACGTCGTGAAGCGCGCGAAGCGCCTAATAAGCCACAAAAAACGCCGGTGTTGGTTTCACTCCATTTTAATAATCATTTCTCTAATCAATAATACATTGCTATACACTTCATCAACGGATGGAGCCGCTGCGAGTTCATACCAAAAAATTGTATCCACGAAAGTACGTCTTAAATAATTCGTAAACGAACGTAAACGTCCGGCCGACATTTACCATTTACGGGAATATCTGTTTAGCCTTCCTTGTATGAAAGGAAATAATGTAACGATTAAAATTCGGGGCGCGGCTATCGCAATTAGAGTCAACGATCATCAATCGAGACTGGTTAAAAAGAACGTTTCAATAAATAAAAAGGAAATACACACGACCGGGCACGGTTGATTCCTTCGAAATAAAAAAACGATATACACGCTTGCCGGAAAAAAGTGGTCCATCTGAAATTCCCACGGGAACACGCGGAAACAAGCGGCCGCCAAAAAAGCAAATACCGTGTTTGCGAAATCTGCTGCGATAGGCGCGCCCATATATGAATAATAATAGAACGATAATATTAAATTCATTCGTTAAAAACTAAGGAGTGAACCTACTGCGGAATACAAACGAGAAATTTCAATGTTACAGAACGTTTTCGTTATGAGAATATTCGTTTCTCTTTCTCCTATCTCTTTTTTCTTGTTTTTCCTTTTCTTTTTCATAATTGCGTGCTCCAACTAACTCGAATCGTTATCAGACGAACTTATGGTCGCTTCTGGTAATTTACATTAGTTAGACGCGAAAAAATCAAAGTCGCACGCTCCATCGTATTCTTCCGAAGCGGTTCATTTAATATCGATGCTCGTCGATTTCACCCAAGATTTTTACCAATAAAGACTTCTCCATTTTTTCATTTTCTTTACTTTTCTTCTTTCTTTTGTTTTTCTATCACGGGGACCCATAATAGTAAGGCACAATTTTCTGCCCGAGAAGGCACTAAAAAACACCAAGCGCGCCTACGCTTGTACGTACAAGAGAGATCAATTTCAAGCGAAATTACAACTAAACAAATGATCATTGTGCACCAAGGTATTTTTGTACAAGTCTCGTTTTGCTTTTTCGTCTAAACTCACGCATCATCGTCACCAATCGTCGTCATCATCATCATCATCATCATCATCATCATCATCGTTATATACCTTCTATTATTATTCTTTCGTCAATGAGTCGTCACAATTGCTATCATCGTCCCTGGACATACTTTCCCCGTTTCTCTCCGATTGTGTCCCGCACTTTTCCTCTCGCGTTCTTCCTCGACCGAGTCTTATTGTCGTCGCATGGTCTCCGGTCGGACAGATTCATCAACTTAATCGATTTCGGTACGTGACAAAATACAGTGCTCCCTTGAACAAGGGGAGGTTCATGTACGCCCTCCCTGAGGTACATTCACAATCGTCCAATGATTGGATCTTTAGAAAATCGTTCGACGAAATCCGTAACATGGCTCTAGAAAAACCGAGCGAATTTTTGGCCGACACAAGCCCTAAACAATCAAAATGAAATCAAAATAATTTATTGAATTGTGAAAGACATAATACCGGGACTTGCTTATAACAGATATACTGCTGGTAAAATAACAGATATTATTTAAAACAAAAATTGTGAGTATGGTCTACAGCTTAAAAATAGCTGATCGCAGTCGATTCGATTTTCTTAATGTTTGTGTTGATTTCGAGATGAGAAACGAAAACGTGGATTGCGATATTCATAGGCAAAGATATCGATGACAGACTCGTTTAGATTGATAACTNACTCGAATCGTTATCAGACGAACTTATGGTCGCTTCTGGTAATTTACATTAGTTAGACGCGAAAAAATCAAAGTCGCACGCTCCATCGTATTCTTCCGAAGCGGTTCATTTAATATCGATGCTCGTCGATTTCACCCAAGATTTTTACCAATAAAGACTTCTCCATTTTTTCATTTTCTTTACTTTTCTTCTTTCTTTTGTTTTTCTATCACGGGGACCCATAATAGTAAGGCACAATTTTCTGCCCGAGAAGGCACTAAAAAACACCAAGCGCGCCTACGCTTGTACGTACAAGAGAGATCAATTTCAAGCGAAATTACAACTAAACAAATGATCATTGTGCACCAAGGTATTTTTGTACAAGTCTCGTTTTGCTTTTTCGTCTAAACTCACGCATCATCGTCACCAATCGTCGTCATCATCATCATCATCATCATCATCATCATCGTTATATACCTTCTATTATTATTCTTTCGTCAATGAGTCGTCACAATTGCTATCATCGTCCCTGGACATACTTTCCCCGTTTCTCTCCGATTGTGTCCCGCACTTTTCCTCTCGCGTTCTTCCTCGACCGAGTCTTATTGTCGTCGCATGGTCTCCGGTCGGACAGATTCATCAACTTAATCGATTTCGGTACGTGACAAAATACAGTGCTCCCTTGAACAAGGGGAGGTTCATGTACGCCCTCCCTGAGGTACATTCACAATCGTCCAATGATTGGATCTTTAGAAAATCGTTCGACGAAATCCGTAACATGGCTCTAGAAAAACCGAGCGAATTTTTGGCCGACACAAGCCCTAAACAATCAAAATGAAATCAAAATAATTTATTGAATTGTGAAAGACATAATACCGGGACTTGCTTATAACAGATATACTGCTGGTAAAATAACAGATATTATTTAAAACAAAAATTGTGAGTATGGTCTACAGCTTAAAAATAGCTGATCGCAGTCGATTCGATTTTCTTAATGTTTGTGTTGATTTCGAGATGAGAAACGAAAACGTGGATTGCGATATTCATAGGCAAAGATATCGATGACAGACTCGTTTAGATTGATAACTTACCAAATTACTAAATTAATTGTGAATATAATATGTGACCAATATTCCTAACCAAAATGTTAGCATTTATTTCTTACCGAAAGTGTCGACATTACTTTTTGGCTAAACCAATAGGTCACAAAAATCGGAAGGATAAAATTGATTATAGCGAATCTTCTCGTACTCTTCTGCATCCTTCGCGTGCTGATCAAATTTAGTTTTCTGAAATGCATTACAATAAAAAGTTAATTTCTGATTTAGACCAAAAACACTGTCACCTATCTTATCGGCGCCACAGCAATTGACGTTTCAGATTTACAAATTAAAAACTAAACCAGTAATGTGAAAAGTTCATTTGGTGTCTAATACATTGCGATTCACCGAACCCATTAGCTGCATGGATCAATTTTTAATATAAAAGTACATAATCTTATCGACCGCACTGCGTGCAGTTTCTTTCAACAAACTCTCATAAAATTATCCTAAAGCGTTCGAACTTGACGTATCACGTACAAAATTGCCACTTCTCCGCGACGAGTTTACTCGACAAGCACAGCCAAATCATTGAACGTAAGCAGACAATCATAAATTTTCATTTTCTTATCTACCGCGATGAAGAAGAACATTATAAAAGTACATTAAACACGTTTCGATTCGGTCAAAGACATTTTTCGAGGAAACAATCGAGGGAGCACTGTACATCGATCGTCTAAAACGAAAAGTTTAACGGAAGTCGAAACATCAACGGACGCGAAACAAAGGATCATCGTACAATCACCGCGGCGATCGCAAATCGATCGAAATCTGTACGGGAATTTTGTTCAACGACTGTATGGCATTTTCGTCGAAATCGGCTTTATATCTCCTCCGGTGCAAATGAAATCGCCCGATTAATTCAAATTAAATCTATATCCATCTCCGTATATTGGCGCGACTCCGATGAGAACGCAGCACCGTCTTCTTGCCGCAACTCCGCGAAAGCTCTTAAGTTCTCTAGACAGGTGGCCGAGGTCGAGGAGGAAGTTCGAGACCGACTCGAGTCCTCGATCGTGTTTCTTCCGTCGAAACGTGCGGACCGGGCGGATTTGAACGGCAGTTGCGACGTCCGGTCGCTACTTAAACGTCGTTTGAACCGTGGGTTCGTCAGTGTCTTGAACACTGTCGCCTGTTCCCGTCGCTGCGCCCTACGAGGGAAACGTTCAGGGATGGTGATGACTGAACAAAGGAAGACGGACCTAGTACCCATGTTCCATTTCCTTGCAAAGAGAGATGGGGGAGGGTGTGAAAGCCACGAAAAGAAAAGAAAAACAATAGGGTAGTGGAACCGGTTGCTTCGGGGTGACCAATTGCTTGCTGTGCCTTTGGTATGTTTTCGGGCATAATTAACTTCGCATTTATCGAATGAAGCATATTAAATTTGCTTATTCTTTTATTTTCCTTATTTATCGAATAAAATCTATCAAATTCTTTTATTCTTTCGTTTTGCTTATTTTTTTAATAAAAAATTGTAACATGTCTTATTCGATGAATGTACGATTAGCTATGCCCGAAAACAAGCTAACGACATAGCAATCGGCCACCCCACAGTAACCGCCAGCACTAGCCTATACGACGACTGTGCGATCTCGACGAAGCATCGTCGTCGGACCTGCGTGTATATGCATGTTCTAAAGGTGTTTCTCGTCCATGAAAGTTACAAAAGAGTCGTTACTCTCTGTTCAGAATCTTTTCGAAACACACGGGGAACAGAACGTCGAACGATGGCGGCTCGAGATTACGGCCACGGCTGCACGGAAAGCTGCCGACATGGGTCCCGGGTATTGCAACGCCCGTAAGAAATACAAATTAGCCGGCTAATCGGAATAGAATTTCGTGTTCGGCCGCTGTGATAGAGCCCGTATAGCGCGAGATGATAGAGAAAGAAATATCGTCGACAGCCGTTCGATAGCCTTGTGCATAGCTATTGTTCGTCGTCGGTCGAGACACACGCTTGGCTCTCCGATGCACGGCTGCCCGGTGAGTCGACGTGCGAGAAGAATCAAGAAAAGGAAGCGGAGAGCAAGAAACAAAAATCCCGAACAATCGTTCTTCCGGCCGACCGAAACGGAAGCGTGAACGCAGGTGGGGAGCTCGAAGTAAAATCGACTGGGCGTCGATCGGACCGAAACGGGGTCCGGAAAATCTGATGTCCCGATCGGTAATTAGGATGGCGTGTCTCGTCAACGTGACACGATGCTCGACGACGACGAGGACACCGTCGCGCGAAGAGAACTCCAAAAGCGATTCTCTTACTCGTTTATTTACACGATATAACCATTTTTAATCTCTCTTTCTCTCTCTCTCTCTCTCTCTCTCTTTCTCTCTTTTTCTCTCTTTTTTTTGTTCTGCTTTCATGTGTTTTCATCGTAAATGTTTCCCTTGTATGCGGTCGGTATTGCACCTTACACCTCGCGACAATTAACAACATCCCTGGACGTGGTTCGATGTTTCTATGAAACATAGTGACGAGAGTGCCACGTGGCTAAAACCGATAGTGAGGTCCGGAGGTGTTCGAAATGTAAGCATCTATTTGGTAGGTCGAGCGATCGGAGTTTACAGGGAATCGAGATTAAGGATATGGGTACGGATGGTAAAATATTTGGTTACAACTCCATGTCCTGCGCCTCGTCCTCGCTGAAGTCGCTCATCGAAGACTCGCTGTCGGACGACATTCCGTTTCCGGTGCCGCCGTTCTCCTGGTCCCTTAGCGCTTGCTCCGTCGCGTATTTCCTCACGTAATCTGCCGAGAAATTAAGAAGGAAATTGCATCCCTGGCTAATATCCACCGATACTTTATGTGGAAATACCCTCGCGATCCGTAGCTCGCTTCGTCGCTGGAGAAACGACCAAACGATCCACCGGACGGAAGATGCAGTCTAGATGGATTGCAACATACGAAACTCATTTGTCCGACTGCGAGTGTTAACTTTTGGAACACGGACATTTTTTTTAAATTACGGCATTGATGGTCCATTCAAATCTTTACGAGCAATTTTCATTTGTATATTTTTAAAAACCATTTTTTATTGAGTCCAAAGATAATCCTTTTTTTTCAACTCAATATTAATAGTTGATCATTGAGTGGGTTGGGATCGTAGTGGCGTAATTTTCACATTTTCACATTTTCTTCATTGTAAGACACAAGGAGTGTTATTGTTTACTAACGTGTGTATTGTTTACTGAGCAAATGTATTGCTAAAATAATTTAGGGTTAAGTTAGTTTATTGTAACTTTATAATTTATTTTACTTGTCTCTCTATCATTTTGACATGTATAGATTATATTTTAAGACACGAGTCAAAATTTTCGAAAATTTCTTTTACGCCACTAGGATACTAACCGACACAATTACAAGTGACTGCCGTAAAATTAAGATTTGGTTGGAATCTTTGTAGCTGTGAATTAAAATGGACCCGACATCCGCTATCCGAGGGTTAATGCAGTTTTTGATGTATGAGTGAAAGAAGAGCGTGTTGGAATTAATGTTGGAATTATTGATCGTAAAAGTTAATAATATGTGTTGTATTCTATGAAACTCCTCATTCATTGTGAATGAAGTTATTCTCTTTTGTATCTTTTACAACTTATTGTCTTTTGCCTATAAATGAATTTGTGAGAAGCACAATGTGTACATTAACCTTCTGCCAGCTGCAACTTAGTACATACATATTGATTATTACTTTCATTAGTATTCATTTATTGTCAACCAATAAAGTTTGAAATATTCCGGATTGTTGAAATCTTGATTACTGAAGTCTGTCCAAAATTCTTCATCTAATACCAACGTACTTTTAATTTAAAAAAAATTTGAAACGTAGCATTGTTCGTTAAACTATTAGAAACTGCTGAAATACACTGGAGCAGCCTGTTTATTTTTGCATTGCAACTGACAGAAGGTGTAACAAAAATTAATGGTGCTTTTACTGCGAGTAATAATGAAAATAAATAGCGGAAATAGAACTTTACATCAAACACTTACTGTCTATCGATTATTTTTAAGTGAAATAGACCTAAATTATAATAGAAACTCGTTTAATCTCCCGATCGAACGATTCTTTCAATCGGAAGTTTATACACGCGATGAAATGTGACTGAAAACGATTTGATGTAACGTAGCTCGTTCCGCTGTTCACAGTTATGATCGTAGGTTTCTAAAAGGAGGTCAAGATTTTTATAACAATATCGATTTTACTTCGATATCTAATCAACGCACGCTATTTTTGCGCAACATTTAATATTCAATTTAATATCCGTCTCAAACAAGTTGGAAATAATTTAATACCGTATAAATGTTTCCGACAATAAGCGAAAATAAACTCTGACCTACATGCGGTCGTAAAATAACCAATGCGTTAGCAACGTCATAAAACGTGAGAGGTACTTCACCGTCTCGTTATTAACGAAAATGGTAATATTATACTGAATTTCCAGAGATTTAATTATCGAATCTTGGACAGATGATGTTTGGAAATTTACAACATGATAATATCAAGTAAAATTAATAGAAACAAATTTTTAACTGTTCGAATACATATTTAATTAAAAACGTGACGGAAGCTGAACCTTTTTAAATGTGAACAGCGACGTTTCATAAATCTCGATCAAAACATTTCTCTCGCGCATAATTAAAGAATTTCTTTGTTTGAACTTCCTAGTTTTCCACAAGAGATAAAACATTTCGCATGTTACAATCCTAAATAAGGGAAACGAATCGATTTTCTACTTAGTATGTATATCGTGTAAACCCACCTGCTACTTTCTTCTTGTACTCATCAGGTTTATGTAAATACAGGGCCGCAGCGTCGCCATTTAAGGGATCAATTGGATTAGGATATGTTAACAATTGGGGCAGGAAAGACTCGAATATATTCGATAAATCTGGAACAGAAAATCAATTGTTGAAACGAAAAGCATTCACGTGTCTCTTAACGGTTATAACACACGTTTCAACCCTTAACTGGCAAGATGGAATTCCGAAGACACCATGGAACTAACCATAAATACTAACATAAAGTTCAATCTTAATATCTTTCTTATAATTCATGCTGTTTGCAGGACTGCTAGTTTAGTCTGCTTGTTGGCATCCGGATCAGTCTAGCGCCGTGGATAACCATATTTGTAAAATACGTTACGAAAAGTTTTTGGAGCAGTTCGGTTGTATTACAAATGTCTTAAAAATGGTAACTGTATAATTATTTTCATAAATACTGTAGTATAGTACATTCAATGAAGTATAGGATGTACTATTTTACATGTCCAACGTGTGAAAAAAAGGTTCCTTCTAGAAAATTCTTAAAGTCAAAATATATGGAAAACATGACGAACGTTATACTTCGTCGGACTCCAGCTCGCAGTCAAGGGTTACAATGTCGCGAAAAATCGTGCGTACGTTAACGAAAAACACGGAAGAACACACGTCTATGGAAAAAGGCTAAATACGTACCGTAAAGGGCAGTCCAGGCCTGGTTTATTACGTCTAGACACACTGTGCCTGAGACTTCGTCAATGTTAGGGTGGTACACCTTGTTCATAAAGCCGATCGAAGGAGATTTGAAGGGGTAGTGGTCGGGCAAGTGAACCCTCACCTTCCATATTCCACCCTCGTAAGGCGCTGCAACGTGGTACAACTATATTTAGTGACGTTGAAGCGCGACGATCCCGTAAATAATGTTTCGCTTTCCGGGACGAAACCGCAATAAGCTAACACCGCGAATCGAGAGAGCTGGAAAGTGCAGAGCCGCAGAACGGTGAAATAAACCGGCGAGATTGCCGGCGATCGCGGATAGAGATCGCCGATCGATCGACCTCCCGGACGATTTGCATGACGCCGCTGCGGTTAACTTATTTCCAAGGAAACGGTGTACTACACATCGGCGATTTCGTGTTCGATCATTGAAATTGCTGGTACAGTTATCGGTGATATTCCAGGCAGCTGGAAAGTCAGAGGCCACGGCATAACTCGCGATAGATCCGAGGGGAAACTGGAACGTTGAACGGTAAAACTCCGGAGAATGCGTTCTCTCCTCTTTCGCGCGCAGGAAAAGGGTACAGGAAACGGGCAGATCGGGGCGAAGGAACGCCGTTTTCCATTGTCCACGCCGGGATCCATCGAGCTCCATGGAAAACAGGATGTTTTTACATCGAAGCTCGGTCTTAAACCGGTCTCCTTCGCGCGGAGAACAGCCGTGGGCTCCGGTCCACAATATCGAACAATGCAAATTCCGGGAACGATGATCCGCTTTTGTCCCATACAAATTGCTTACAACACCGAGCAGCGTTTATGCTCGGCCATCGAAACGCGAGTCAATACCGTCGAAATTATGCTATTCGGAGCCGTTCGAGATGTTCGGCCAAGTACGAGAAGAATCGGGAGCGTGCTTCCTTTATAGAAGGGGATCTGTTTCGAATATTATTGGGATCAGCATGACGCGTTTCTCTTAGCACGACGTTAACAGGGTATTTCTGGGATTTCAGGGGATTTCTTTTTAGATTTTCTTGAAGAATACAGGGTGGGTCGGAAACCGTAGTAGATATAATCGAGGGGGTAATTCTACGTGAAAAAATAAGAAAAAAACATTTCTTTATCCGAGGCTCCGTTTTCGAGAAAATCGACTTTATTGTTCATCTTTGTAAGGATTTAGTTGTCTATTCATCCAACGCAGTTGCCTCCATGCGAGATAGTGCTTACAAACATTAATTGTTGCGAACTATCTACTGTCTTGTGCTTAAAAAAAGTCAGTCATTTCGGCAGAGGTGCAAGGGGGGTACTTCGCTCGCTCCGCCTCACCTGCTCGCCGGTAGTCACCACTTTTCTATGACCTCCCGAGACCCACTTCTATTGGTAAACGAGAAGACCCACAAGCTAATCGACGCGAGGAGCAAGGGGAATCGGTTTCCCTCTTCACCCAATCACGTCTCATGCTCAGCGCGTAACTTAGCCAATAATAATGAAAAGTCGGAAAATTGGAAGAGGCTAGGTGGAGCGGGCGACCGATTCCCCTTGTCCCTTGCGTCATTTAATTTATGCGTTACACGTTAACGTAGGCATAAGATATCATATGATATAACATGACTATAAAAAATATATGTATAGTACAACAGGTTTGCTGCATAATCCAATGAAAAGTTAATCGAGATGCTAATTAGTAATTACAAATAATCATGTGTTCATCAGAAGAACCTGATATTAATGCTTTAGGGATAAGTTCTTGCAGATTGCATTTGTTGTATCTGTTTCTGTCTCGTTTGTTCTCGTTTTTTAATCGGCAGAACTCGAGACCCTCGTTTCGTGAAAATTCAGTGTGGCGGCTAATTAAGGGCCAATAAGAAGGGATCATTTCTGCCAATAAGGGAAACACGTTTACCGTACTTCTGCAAGGTTGTTAATATGGATGGGTTGATGGAAATCGGTCCTACACTTTTCTCAGCTGACTTCCTCCGAGCAACGGACAGGGGTAAACGAAATGTTTCCATCATTGTCAATGTTTGTAAATGAGAAGAATATCTACAACTAATTTCGACCCAACCTGTGTATGTTGATTCAAAAAATTTGATGTCTGAATTCTTAAAATTAATGTTTCATGTTCAATGCTCAATGTTGAAGATTCAAGATTCAAAGTTCAAAGTTCAATGTTCATTGTTCAATATTCACTATTCACTATTCAATGTTCAATGTTCAAAATTCAAAGTTCAACGTTGAATGTCCAATGCTGAATGTTTAATATACGGGTTATAGGTTGAGTATACATAACTGTATAATTATGTCATGTGAGGTCAGAGGTAGCCAGAAGATAGATTAGATTACATAATTTAACCGTCAAGAAAAAGACAACGATTTAATAAATTGATCTCATCGCTTAATGTCATTAAGACATCCTTCAGCTGCTCGAATTTTTTCTTTTGTTCTAGTACCTGCTACAGCCAAACTCATACTGATTAAGAATGTTAAACGTATATTCATTTCAGATAAACGAAAAATATAAATAAACCTTGTAGATGTAGCTCCAATAGGTATTATAGTTTCTTCGCACAGAAATCCTAAAGGGAAACGCAATTTACACTAGTGTATCCTCTTAACTGACTTTGCGGATCATTATCGCTCGAATTTTTGCAATGAAAAACATGGCTTTATTTGATGAGTCCTGCTTGAAAAATGTGTGCTCTATTGTGCGGTATAATCGGAGTTGCTTGATCGGTTTCTTTGTTGGCTCGAAGCTTAGTATTATCAGCTGTGTTGTTGCGTTGTTCAGCATCGTTTGCGAGAAATATTTTTCTATCTTTTACATTTTCAATGGAACGAACTTACAAATCGTTTCTTAAAATTCTATTTGTTGAAAAATGAAGGGGAAACGATGGAGAAAGGCGAGTTTGAAGCACGCGTTTAACGCTCAAAGAAATACAAAATTCCTCTCCTTAGTTATCAGTAGATTGCGGATTTTTATGAAAAATAAAAATTGTCTGCCTCGATTGGAATAAATAGAAACTAAATCGCGTTAGCAGATTAAATATAATACTAATAATATTTTTCATTCTTTTAATCTTTCTACTATTTCAAATTACAGTTATCCAATTTCGTCGTAAATGGATAAAATCCGCAGTTCAGTTATCAGAACGAAAAATACATATGAGTCAGAGAGCGCTATTAATATAAGACAATTACGTTATCATAATTTAGCAACAGATTTTCCGTGTTTGTAAATACGAGCATCGATAAAGCACATTTCTAGCGTCTATTGCTAGAGACCTATGCTCTAGTGTCTATAACGTATCTACGACTGGCACAGACAGATTATTCCAGTAAAAAAAAGTCTTATAGTCGTTCGACGAAAGAATAATTTACGCAATCGAAGAATGATATCGAATGACCTTGGATGATAAGCATATTACAAATGGATGAATTCGTCTCGCGATCGTAAACGTGTATAATTACGGTTTCGTGTAGAACATTAGAGATTTCCTTTTGTTTAAAGGTCGCCGTAAGTATGTGTGTGTACACCTATTTTCTGTTATATTAAAATCCGTTGTAATTAACTGGCTAGACCAGTTCTCTGTACAGGATTCAATCAGTGAATGTCATAACCACATTCTCAGAACGAAGTTGATCGATCAATCAATTATAGGCTAACACGTTTTTGGAAGAACGCTGGTTTAACGCGCACCTGCAAACTCGAGCAAATCAGTGACTGAAATACTTTCAAGTTTTTCGTCCGATCCGTATCGTGTTATCAATCAGCAGATAACAAATGAAAGTAATTTATTTATTTCGATTAAACTCGCTTCCGGTCATCTTACTTCGACGATAAAGGAACAATACAATTTCTAAGGATTTTTCGCTTTTGCGAACATGCTATCGTAAAATCAGTTCGAATATTGATCGAATGGAAAGCTTCTGCGTTTTTATTTTCATAAAAACCAATTTCCCCTGGACTTCACTATTTGTTTCCTATACCGTGAAAAGTAACTGCATGAATTTCGCACACTATAGTACAATCTCCTAAAAAAAACTGAAATAATTCTCATTTAACGGGAAAATGATTGGAAATTGAAAAATCGGAAGAGTTTTCTTTAATATGCAGCTTAAGTTAGAACAAATGGAAAATAATGAATAAATAAATAATGTTCTCGATTATCGATTCACGCGTTTTCGAAAGCGCGCAACCAGTTTCGAACGATTCTGTATCGTAAAAGCGTTATTTCCTTCGTCTCTGGCATTCATTTTCCTCTTCCGAATTATCATCCATGAACGAGATCCTCTAATTGTTCCCAGCAACGCATAAAGCATCGCCAGCGAACGGTGCTCGACAAACAAGAGTGGCTCGAAGTGAAACGCGAAATAGAGAAGGAATGCAGCCGCGGATCGATCAAATGCTGCAACGGGAAAACGAACAAGATGAATCTACGGGTGAAATTCATTTCGCGCAAAACTCGGAAATAAAACTTTCACAGAGAAGAACGAGCAGAAGAATGGGCATATGGTGGGTCAAAACGATCGAAATGCTCTGACACGGATCAGAAAGTCGGCTGGGATGAAATTTGTCCAGTCGTTCACCACAAATTACATACGCTGTTCGACAGTTTCTTTCACGTTTGCGATTTCGAGACAGTCTTTTAAAAATTCCCCGGAATTATTTTAATTTTGAAAAAGTTCTTGGTTACTCTATAGCCGACAAAGATCAAATTTTATTCATATATAATATTTCGAATAAAATTTTATTCGAGAAATATATATAAATATATAATAAAATTATATTAAAGAAATATTTCGAATAGAATTATATATTTAAGTAATATTTCGAATAAATTCTTCGAATAGAATTGTGTTCGTGTAATATATCGAATGAATTCTTCGAATGAAATTTTATTCGTATAAATTCTCCGAATATTTCGAACCAAAAGTTGTGAAATTTTATTTATCGAAATATTTTTCGAATAATGCCCAACTCGGAGCCAATGTACGAAGTGCGCTATTAGAAACAATTGTAATGTGCCTATGAAAAGAAGAATGTATACCAAGATCGCGGATTACGTCAACGGAATTTAAGATGATGTCAGCAATTAAATAATAGTGAGATAAGTTAATAATGCGAAAACGAAATATCTGAGCATTTGGAA